TACTGCTTGATCCCAAGTCCTTCTTCCTCCTCCTCCTCCCCCTCTCCTCTTCCTCCACCTCCTCCTCCTCCTCCTCCTCCTCCTTACGTCTGACCTCGTTCCCGCATATAAAAAAGAGAAATCCCAAAAGCGGGATGCTGAATGAAAATGCAGAAGGAAGTAAAAGTGTATAGATGAAAAAATAAGTAAAAAAAACTTTTCGGTAGTGAAATACAGTTTAAGGTTGAGGTCGAAGGCCTATATATGGCACCGATTTATGGGCAGGAAGGCGAATGTAGGGCATTCGGGTTATATAGGCAGGTTTTAACATGGGAAACTGGTTGTATGGGAGATGGACGGGGGGATGGGAGAGAATGAGAGAGCGAAAGCGAGAGCTACAGAAAAGGAGCGGGAGAGAGAGAAACGACTATCAAAAGCGACTATAAAAAAAAATCCATTGTCAGAGAAAAAGGTAAAGTACAAAACGATTAAGATAAAAAAAAGAAAAGAGAACATCATGGAAGCGTTTACACATTGAGTGCCGTGGGAAGAGTGTGAGAGAAAATCGGCTATTTTCATACCAATAATAGCTGAATCGGTGCTATGTTGTAATGTGCAACCTTGCGGTGGCTGAACCATGCCATGGATTGCCATTAAATGGAAACTGTGCTCTTTAGGTACGCCGAATGCAAGGAAATATTGGATGGCAGAGTGAAGATGTTTATCAGTGACCAGTGTATTCTGGACAACGAATATATTTACGTTGGTTCGAATGTGTAAATCGTCACTGTAAGCATCTTTTGTGGGCAAATTGTACGTATTCTTGGAACTTCATCGAGGCTCCGGACACCATGCTCTATAGTAATTGTCGTTCTCAAGTTTATCGTGTTATAGGCCTAATAAAACGGAGGAATCCCAATAACCTAGGCCCACAACCTTCCCTTTCGTTGATGAAAGTCGGTTTCTGTTTCAAGGTCGTTGAAGGCCTCCAGGGCTTTAAATAAAAAATCTGCGGTCGGACCTGGATAACCGCTTTTCCTGCTGTGGCCCGTCTAGGGATGTGCCCCCGGGGGAAAGGGAAGGAGGAGAGAGAGAGGGAGGAGGAAAGAGAGAGAGAGAGGGGGAGAAAGGAGAGGGGGGGGAGAGGGAGGAGGTGGACAGAGAGAGAGAGAGAGAGAGAGAGAGAGAGAGAGAGAGAGAGAGAGAGAGAGAGAGAGAGAGAGAGAGAGAGGAGAGAGAGAGAGAGAGAGAGAGGGAGGAGGAGAGAGAGAGAGGGAGGGAGAGGAAGAGAGAGAGAGAGAGAGAGAGGGAGGGGGAAGAGAGGGGGATATGAAGGAAGAGAGGGGGAGAGATGGAGGAGAGAAGAGAGATGGAGGAGAGGAGGATGGAGGAAGAGAGGGGGGAGAGAGGAGGAGAGAGGGGGAAGAGAGGAGGAAGAGAGGGGGAGAGATGGAGGAGAAGAGGGGGGGAAATGGAGGAAGAGAGAGAGAGGGAGGGAGAACAGAGAGAGAGAAAGAGGGAGGAAGAAAGAGTGTGGGGAGGGATGGACGGTGGAAGATGGATGGATATACGAAATGAAAGGAGGAGGAAGGGAAGAGGAATGGAAAAAAACAAGAACGAAGGACAAGGGAATAAAAACCCGAGACTAAGACAATTATCGGAGAGCGAGAGACAGATAGTAAGAGAAAGGGAAAGGGAAGGCCAGGGAAGGAGGCTCGTGTGTGTTCGTCCAGCGTGCCAGGAGGAGCCGTTGGTAGTGGTGCTGGTCCAAACTATCAGCGGTCACTCCTCTGTGCCACGTGATAATGGTATTGCTATTATTAGATTTCTAGTTTTTACCCGCCGTGGCACGAGTACCCCTCCACCCCCACCCTTGACTTTAGATTCGGGGTGATGGTTAGACTTGCATGGGTACGGGCGAAGGGGGGGGGGTAGAGTGGGGGAGGTAGGAGGCAATGGGGAACAAGTGGGGGAGGGTAGGAGGCAGGATGAGTGGGAGAGGGTAGGAGGCAATGGGGGATAAGTGGGGGAGGGTAGGATGCAATGGGGGACAAGGGCAGGAGGTAGGGGAAGCAAGGGGGGTCTAATAGGGGGGGGGGGCGTCAAGAGCCGGGTATCTCTACGTGGCACAGGTCATGTCCTAGAAACGATGTGGGAGGAGAGAATGATTTGCGGTGGGTGGAGAATGGGAGGAGGGGGTAAGGGGGTGGGTAAGATTTTGCTTCCTTCGTCTTTTGAAGTGAAACGATATACTCCGGGGATGTTAAGCTCTACAGAAAAAAAAATCCCTCTGAATGTAGCATCTCTTTCCGTGTTCAAAGAGACAAAAGGCCTTTTGTAGATTCACACATGACCACACAGTACCAGACACGCCCACAGGGACACCTTCTCTCTCTCTCTCCCTCCCATCTCCCCTCCCCTTCTCCACCTACTCCGCCCCCTTCTCCCCTCCTCCCCCGCATTTCCCCCTACTCCCCCTCCCCCCTCCTGCAAGAAGTTGGTGCAGTGACGGTGACTTGGGTAACGGGACCAGGAGTCGGTCGGTCCGTCAAGGTGAACCACAAGCGACTCTCCCTTGCTGTGGCTGAGCTTCCCCACGCTACCACCACTACCACGCCACCCCCCACTTCTTCCCTATACTTCCCCACGCCTCCCCTCACCCCTATCCCCCTCTCTTTCCTCATCTTTGATCCTTCCTTCGTCTTAATTCCCCTTATTCCTGTCCTCTCCCCGACCTCTTGCTTCCCCTACCCCTCTCTATTCCTTATTACTTTACCATTACCCTATCCTTCCATTCTCTTCCCCCTTGCCTCCCCTCACGGCGTTCCTCCCTCTTCCTTTTTGCTTCCTTGTGTCGCTTCCCTCTTTTTTTCATCTTGCCTCCCTCTTCCTTTTGCCTTCCCCTTCGTTTTGTCCCCCCTCTGCCCTTTCCTTCGCTTTGCCGGGTTTCCTTCTCATTTATTCCTGCTTCGTATCCCTTCTCATTTACTCTTACCTCGTCTCCCCTTTATCCCTCTGCCTTGTCCATCACTCCCTCTTCTCCTCCCCTTGCTTCAGAACAGGCCATTCTTGCTTCACTCATCTCAGGCTCCAGTCGCTCCAGTCGCTTTCTTAAATGTTCTTTGTCTCTGTGTCCCCGTCTTTTTTTTTCTTTCTTTCGCTGCCTGACAGACAACGCTTTATTTCTTAAAATGAACTACGTCTCTCTCTATCTATCTCTGTCTCTATCTATCTATCTCTGTATCTCTCACTGTCTCTCTTTCGGTTTCTCCCTCTCTTTCTCTTTCTCTTCGTTACAATCCCGATCTCCTTTTTTATCTCTAACATTTCTTCTGTATGATGATGTCATTTTGCTTTTTAAATAAATCGCCCCTTTTTCCGCGCGAGTTTCCACGGCCACAACTATGTCTCCCCGCGGATAGCTTCAGAATGACCCAGAATAAAACTCCGTCTGGTAATGACACCAAGCCAGAATGAGAAGGCAGAATGAGAAGGCCCCCAACGGAGGACGCATGACACTTGGCAAGACTCGGTGTCATATGGAATTGGGATCGAGGTCACGCTGTCATGAGATCGACTCGAGATGGAAGTTAAGATGGAGAGCGGGATAAAGAAGATAGGCGGGTACCGACGGTGGTTGTGGTAGAGGGTTTCTCCTGCTGCTACTACTGCTGCTGCTGTTGTAACTGTAGTAGTGGAGAGAGAGAGTCGTCAGGCTTGGTGATTGAGTTTCTCCCAAGCACAGTGGATCAGTTTGAAGAAAGGAGGGAAAGGGAATGCCCAGGGAAGCACGCCTCTTCCAGTCAGCTGTAGAACTTCATGGTTGTTTTTTCCCGATATGACTGTAACGGGACGACGATGACGGTGATACTGATAATGATCATGACGATAATGATGATATTAATATCTTGATCATTATTATAAGTGTAATAACAATAAGATGATATTTATTGTTATTAAAAGTATAATGATAATAATAATACTAATAATGTTAACAATAACAATAATTATAGTGTCATAACTATTACCAGTAGGCCTACTACTACAACTGTTCTCCTCGTACAACGACTACGTGTGATCTACTGCATCCGTTTTTTACGTCTCATAAATACCAGCGCGAGGGCAAGTGACATTTCATAAGGTTCCTCATTCCGCGCTCCTTTGCAACTGCCACTTGCTCTGGCTTGCAGTAATAGGCAGTCTGTACAGTAGATTCCGGTTCTTGGTTATGGTCGTTGCCACGTTGCCTGAGCTTGGATTGCTTAACGGTAGTCTTGATGATGGCAGTGAAAATGATTGCGCTGATAATGATGAGTTTGATAGTAGGCCCTAATAGTCATATTTTTCGGTGTATATTCTATCGCCTCATTCACTTTCTACAGATCGTAGACCTTACTGTCTAGTGGCTTGTAATTATGGGTGTTCCTTTATGAGTTTTTCTTTTATTTCATTTTATATTTTTTATCAGTGTATACTCAGTATTTGCGGGGTATGAATCCGTCCGGGAATGATAAGGCGTCCCCTGCGATTTCGCGCATGCGCACGCAGCCTACATGACCCAAATATAGAACGTCTGGCGCGGAACTCTCCGGCGCATTCCGTAACGCTATTTTTATTATTTTTTTGTCTATAATGTTATGTTGGCGCGCATCATTATTTTTTGGCCTTTGTAGGCGTGTTCAGGAAGTGACTCGATGGAGGCTGTTTTTTCCGTTTTCTTGAATTTGTTCCTGTAAGAACTACGTACCTGAATATATGGTTCTTTGGCGGAGAGTGAAAGGGGAATCTCGTTAGTAACCGATAGAAAAAATGAAAAGGGGAGATGATTACAAATGAAAATCTGACTTGATATAGAGAAAAAGTTGTTGACAAAACATGTTCCAAAAGACCAATAACTAATTTCTTAAATTAATTTAGAGTAAATGTTATAAATGACGTCACACAGCCTTTAGAATATCAATCAAAAATGCATTCGCGGAAATGCAGAAACTGTTCAAACTTTTCTTTTTTTTCTTTCCAGCTGATCGGCATGAGTGAGTGTCAGACCCGCATCAAGCAGCTGGTGGACGATGCCAAGCAGATGGCCGGCCTGCCCCAGGACACCACCCTCGAGGGCCTGGTGAGTGTGCCGCCGGTTGGGCCTTCTTCGGGGTTCGCTTTTGTTTCATGCGGGATGAGTGTTCTGAATGTGGCGGTGCGCGTCAGGTGAGTGAACACGGCCGGAGAGAGTGAGGGAGCGTGCGGTTTTCTTGTCTCTCGTGTGTGCGAGTGTGAGTATGAGTATGGATATGTATATATATGTATATATATTAGACACACACACACACACACACACACACACACACACACACACACACACACACACACACACACACACACACACACACACACACACACACACACACACACACACACACACACACCATATATGTATGTATGTATGTATGTATATATATATATATATTATAGAATGTGTATATATATATATATATATTATATATAATATATATATATATATATATAATGTGTATATATATATGCATACACATACATATAAACATACATAAACATATACATACCATACACATATACATATACATATACATAAACACGCACATACATACATACATACTGTATATCTATGTGCGTGTTTATGTATGCATGTATGTATGCATGTAAGTATGTGTGTGTGTTTTTACTGTTATGTCTGCGTGTATGTTTGGACGTTTTTAATGATGGATATGTGATTATGCTTGCATATTTCTGCGTATATCCATTCGTATATTCTGCGTATGTGCATCCGTATGCAGCATATACTTATTTATGCTTCTTTTTGTATTTGTCTGTTATAAATCTTTTTCGTTGTGTTAATATTTTTCCTGCGGTCTGCGCTTTTCCTGGTCGTCCATTTTATGAAGGACAGGAAAAAAAGGAAAAATTCTGAGTCGCCGTCATCATAACTTTGGTAAATCGAGTTGAGGGCGACCGATCGAGCTTGCCCAGGGCCTGTTCTCGGACGCAGAGCAGCCGCGCCGAGAGGAACCCTGGAGGAAAGTGACGGGCAGGAGGAAGAAGAGTAAAAGTGAGGCTAAAAGAAAATCCCCGAAGACGAGAGGAGAGCGCGAAAGAAAATGAAAATTAAAAAAAGGAGAATACAAGTAGATGAAAGAGGAAAGCCAAACAAGGAAGGATAAATGAAGGTGAGGCATAAGGAGATGAACGCGGCAGAGAACCAAAGAAAAAGGAGAGCGAAGCCGATCAAGAACAAACGAATAAGAAGAGGACGGGAACGGAGAGCGAAGACGAGAGAGATGGAAGAAAAAAAAAGAAAGGGGAGAAAGAACAGACGAAAAACAAGAGAAAGAGGAGAACGAGAAAGGCGAATGAGTTCGACGAAGAAAGAAGAAAGAAAGATAAAAGGAACGGTGAAAGAATGCTAGTAGAACGAATGAGAAAGATGAGAACAGGAACGGAGGACGAAAGAGAAGGTAAAGAAAAGGAAAGGAGAACGACGGCGAGAACGAACGAACGAAAAGGAAGGGAACGGGATGGGAAAGCGAGGACGAGAACGAACAGAAGAGAGAGGAAGGACGAAAGAGAATGAGGAAAAAGGGAAAGGAGACGGAAGACGTGAATGAACAAAAAAGCGAGAGAAAATGGGAAAGAAAAACGAAAGTAAAAAAAAATGAAACAAACGATAAAAAAGAGAACGGGAACGGAGAGAGAAGACGAGAAAGAACAACAATAAAAGAGGAGAAAGGGAAAGGAGAAGAACAGGCGTCCGGGCCAATGACAAAGGGAATGTATGCAACATGCCTTAGTTACGACATCGCATAGAGCCAGTCAGATGATGCCCTTTTCGTGAGGCGCTATGCTGGCCCTTGATGCTTATCTAGAATAGCTCCTGCGCTGCTTGTCTGTTTGTACAAATGATGCAACGTTTTCTTAATGAAACTAGTTTTCTATGAGTTTGCAAAAAGTTCGTAGTTTTGTTTTTGGGTATTTGTTATGTTTCCCCTATTTTCTGTTTTGAATTCGTAAAAAATCCCTTTTTGCTCGTAATCTTCATTTTTAAAGTATATTCTCCCATTACTAATCTGACTTTTTATCAGTTTATTGAATCTCCCATCTCTCATTAACCAGTACAGCGAAGAGTAAAAAAATAAAAAGAAAGAAAAAGAATAAAAGTAATGCCTCGCTACCCTTTGGGAATCGCCCTCGAGGAAATTGTAACTGATTCCTGATAGTAAGCTGTTTAAAAAATTCTCTGCTGCTTACGCCTTCTTCTTCGACTTCTCGGACGACCTTGTCCGTCTCGGGTCGTAGGCAGGATTCGATTCTTTTTCTTTCTTTTTTTTCGTCTCGTCTCATATTTTGATTAAGCCTTTCCCGCATTCGAGAGAGTCATGCTCGCAGACGGAGCATGACCTCCGCATCATGCTCAGCGAAGCCGGTTTTCGGCTCCGTGCGGACCCTGTCACCCCTCGACGGCTTGCGAAGAGGGAGAGGGAAAGGGAAGGAGGGAGGGGGAGAGAGAATGAGGAATAGAGAGTGAGGGTGAAAATGAGAATAAGAGTGAGGGTGAAAATGAGAATAAGAGTGAGAGGGAGAAATTGTAAACCATAGAGAGAGAAGGGAGTGAGAGTGAGAAATGGGGGAAGGGAAACGGAGGGAAAAGACTAAGAAACAGGGCGAGAGAGAAAGAAAGAAGAAACAAAGAATGAGGGAGAGAGGTTACGCAACGAGGAACGAGACGGACTTGATCCAGCGACCTAGCGGGAAGTCCCGTAGCCGCGGCCGAAATTTCACCCGCAGAGCCAGCGCGCGCGCACGCGGACCTCGCAGCCGCCGCCGTCGCGCGAGAGACGATGCGACATTGACTCTTGATCTATCATGAGTCCTGCCATGCAGATGTTTGCGATGCGCATGACTTGTTATGAAGGAACTCAAGGTGAACCGTTATGCATGAGCGAAGGTCGGGCACATTAAATATCGATCGAGGGTAACCTTGAGGACTTGGAGTCATAAAAAAGATAGGTAGCTCCAACTCCTGATTTATTGGTTATTCTTGAGGAAATTTAGCTGTTTACATAAGTAATAAGAAAGTCCTTCCAAGGGATTCTGTTCTGGTGGGTAGATGTCCTGTTCGTGGATGTAGATGCAAGTGAAACGTAACTGTACTTATAAAGAGATACAGATGTCTGTACGCATGAGAGAAAAAAAAGTTTGGCGGGTAAAAGAGAGATCGCTTCGCCTCTAATGGAATCTGGATGATTAGAAGAAAGGTGAAAGAGTGCGCGTTGTGTTAAGAAACAATCATTGTGACAGTTATAGCGGCTGTATAGGGGAGGGGGTGGGGATAGGGAGGGAGAGAGGGGGTGGGCGTTGAGTCACAGATTGCGTCAACGTTCAACTTGCACGCGGACGCCAATTAATGCACCCAGACACAGTTCAAACGCATCACGGCATCAACGCCATTGCATTATTTGTCGCAGGTTCGCGCGTGCCTTCCGTTCATCCCTGTGCGATGAATTGGACTTTGGTGTTAAAAGGGGAACCTGAAGAGGGAAAGCCTGTAGAGAATGAGACTTCAGAGAGGATAAGGACGAGGGAATTAACACGAAGACATAGAGGGGGAAGGTAGGGGCGAAGGAGGAAGGGAGGGGTTAAGGGGGAGGGGGTAGGGGCGCTGGGTATGAGGAGAAGACGGAGGAAGGGCGACTTCAAGAATGCAAGACATGGGGTGCGTTAGGAGGCAATGGCATCGAGAGGGCTGTGGATGCGAAAGATGTGGGTTACGGCATCTGCGGGAGTGGAAAG